TTTTTGCTGACACAACTCTTTAGATAAAATGTAGAGAGACAAAGTTTAGATCCAAACTTCCAGGAACCCTAACAAAACCCAAAGTTTTCTTTGGAAAAGGTGAAGATACATTAAAGGACTGTATTTGCACACACAATTTAGGACGAACACTTCCTAATGCACATTTTGGTTCCTTTGTAGTTAAGGAAAACAATTTATCAGTTTATGATCCACTATGACCCCCTGATCCTTTTCTGCAGTATTCCTTCTTGGGTAGTCATTTCCCATTTTGTATCTGTGCAATTGATTATTCCTTCCTAAATTAGTACTTTATATTTGTCCTTATTGAATTTCATCCTATTTATTTCAGACCATTTCTCCAGCTTGTCAAGATCATTTTGAATTCTAAGACTCTCCTCCAAAGCGCTTTCAATCCCTCCCATCTTGGTATCATCCACAAACTTTATAAGTGTAAGTTCTATGCCATTATCCAAATAATGTATGAAGCATATTTATTAGCATAACGTATATTGGGCCAAATTCTGCAGCTCTCAATTGTGTAAAATTCCTGTTGAAGTCAATAGGAGTTTTACACAATTAGGGACTTCAAAATTTGGCCCATAGTTTGTAAAATAATTTGGGGGTCCTTCAATATGATACGCCCATAGTGGAACAGTGCCATAAATGTACATGAGTCTAAGAATTATATCTAGTGGAATGGAGGGACTGCAGGAGCCATACAGACAGCTGACTGGACCAAAAGAAGGTGGGGAATAGGAGAAGGATGTGCTCTAATACAGACTTTTAAATAGCACATCACAGATGGGGCATGGATACCTATCAAAAATTATATCATTAGAAGAATTGTTACAGCTGCCTTGTATAAATGAAAAATATTGTTATTAGTGAAAGAAAGTGATAAGTAACATAAATTGGAATCAACTTGGTTTCTGTTCCAATTTTGTTAATGTTAGTAATAATAATTTGCACTTATAGTGCTTGTCACCCAAAGATCTCAAAATACTTCTCAACAAATTAATCAATCTAAATATCAATCCTTTGAGGCAGATAAATATTATTAAACCACTAAGAAACATTGTACACAAAAGTAATGTTTGCCAAATATAAAAGAACAATCTGTAGGAAGAGACATTTTGTTTTCTAGGGCAGTTTTACAAACAATGGACATTAAAGCAAATACACTACAAACATATAGCTGCCAGTTTTCTTCTAAAGGAGAAGGTCGGCAAGGGATTGTTTGTCATTTGTTTATATTGCATGTGAGTTGGTTTGTCTGCTGTGTGTCTAACAGCCAGTTGTAGTCACTTTTTAAATATTCTAAAAGGCAGTGTGTAAACACTGGTTAACAAATGAAATAAATCCTGAAGGTTATAACTTCACTATGGAACCTCTTTTCATGGTAGATCAATCTGTTTGCCAAACAGCTTTAACTGTGTCTTAGGGCAGAGTTGGGACATAAAAAATTGTGTCAATATAAATATTTGCTTTCAAAATGATATTGCACTATATATACTTTGCAGTTTACAAGTCCATAATTTGCAACTGTAATGACCTAGTGTGGTAAGAACTTTCAGTGACAGCTCTTTGAATGACAGCTAAATAATTAACTAAAATTAAGTCCTGTAATATAAATAACATTTGGCCCTGGGGTGAATAGGTTTCTGAATTCACTCTATCTCAGCTGTCACTCATAAACCTGTTCACGGGGTTGTTCTTGTATACTCTTCAGTATAACCGGTAAGGAAAGATCACTGAATGAATTAACAAATATTTTTGTGACCTTTTTTTCCTCATGCAGGTAACTTTAAAAGGGCTCAGCAGTGAAACTTCAAATGAGAAATGTGTTTATTTATTCCTGCAAAGGTTTCCAACAAAGGAAATTTCAGTGGTACTACTTGTTTTCCAACACATGTAAGTAGTCTCATTGAACAGGTGTGAGCCAGATGGATCTGCTGATGTAATGCCTTAGGGACTATGTAACCCATCTGTGGGATAGACCATAGTAATGAAACAGGACCCTGAAAAGGCTCACCTCAATTGCCCAGTACGTCTGTGTGCCTCGAATAAACATCAAACATGAGCAACATATGTAAGAAATGTGGAGGGAGGGAGAGAGAGTATGCCCAATTAATCAGTCCAATTGGTGCTTTATCCCTAAATTCAAAATTACAATTGGATCAGTCAAAATCATACCTATACCCAAATTTGTTGAACCATTGGTAATACAAAGTCAACCAAGCTTTGGTTCTAAGCCAATTCAGTTTCTCCCTAACTATATAGTACCTAGGCTATTGCTAAATTAAACGTATACCTAAAATCTTTGTTAAAATGAAATATAAATCATTTCTTTCCTATGTGAAAAAAACTGAATACAGTAAATAATCAAATAGACCTGGTGGGATCTAATAAATACAGTTGGGAACATATGGTTGCAGTATTCAGTTTTAAGATATTGTTATGGATACAAGTGTTAATAATTATAGCAATGCTTATAATGTTTTGTAAAATATAGTTTATATTAAAAGACTGGTAAAAAAGGCAAGAAAGAAAACAGGCATTGGAACAACCACCATACTCCACCATGTAAAATAAGTGACACCTTCAAAAATATTGTATTTCCAAGAGTGCCAAAGGAAGGAGTGCTGGGGAATATTGAAACACCACGGCCCTAAACTGAATAAGCACCTCAAAATTCAATAGGCAAAATTGCTGACAGAGCTTTTTATGATTTACAGACATGGTGTGAAAGCTTGCGCAAAATTCACTTGAAAATCCATGTTTAGAAAAGATAAGAATGCACAGGCATTAGGACATGTTGTTCTACATAACTTTGCTATTCAAATAAGAAAAATAAAAGTTATGTAAATGAATAATTTAGGAAGATACACATGCACTGAACTATTATATTAAAATATTACAAAAATTGCTGAGTGGTTAGTTTAATGTTAAGACTTTCTGAGAAGGTGTGTTGAATGGTAAGAGGATAGCTGACGTAAAATTATCCAGCAAATTTTTTAATATTATTCCATAACACCAAAAGTCCAATGCCCAGAGTCATCTCTCAGTGTCTTTTTTAAATGCCCAGCTCTCATATCTGTACAAGAGTGTTGATCATATGTTGCATTTCAGCAATCTAGTGCAGATGTGTAGTTTTCACTTTTGACAACACAGGTCCTTGAAAATTGTTGAATACATCTTTTGCAAGGGATATCTTTCTGATTTTTTTGTTCTATCCTACTACATCTGATGTTATTAGACACCCTAAAAAGGGAAACTACTCACCACTTGACCATCAAGATAAAGGTGTTACCTACCTTGTCCATTGCTAAATTTACTTATTTTTATCCTTTTTGTCTTTCTGACGTTAATTGTCATTCCATATTTCTTGTACAGTCAGCAAACCCCTCTACCTCCCAACCCTCAAGTAACATAGTGCGCACCTCGTAACATAGTGCTGTTTGGACATAGCCAAGCCAGGCTTGGAAGAATTAGATCTTTGTTGATAAATGTTGGTAAACATTGATTGCATAATATGCACACAGACCAATGAAAATTTTTTCCATCGATAATAACAGAAATGTACAGATAGATAAAGTAAGAAAAATGCAGCTTGAGAATTTATAAGAGTCAAAATCAAGTGATTTAGACTTTCAGATTAGGCTTGTTACCAATGAAATAACAAATAAATAGTAAAAATAGGTATGATTTGTTGATTTAAGGATATTTACTTTGTATATTTTGATGTGTAATTGACAATTTGTGTTTTAATGGTTTATAAAGCTTTAACTTTTGAATCTCAGTGTCTACTGTCATTAAATAACTGTCTGATCCCCCCCCATAATTTCCTACAACTGTGAAAATTTAAATTGATAAAAATAGAAAAAAATGCTTAAAACACTCATGATTTTGCACAAATATGAAAATTTAAATAGATAAAAATCTAAAAAAAGTTTAAAAATAAATATCAGTATTATCCTTTTAATTTATTTTTTAAAAATGTATTCTGCCAAGCCTACTCATAATACAATATTGCTTAGATGTAGCCAGATGAGGTTGCTGTGTTGCCCACATTAGTGATTTCAGCCTGAATCTCTCATTATTTGATGTTTTTCTTAAAGTCCCAGCTCCTAGAGCTATATAATTAGGTGAGAAACTCAGCTTTCATTAAAAGATAAAGTAAGCTTCAACTCAGATGTTATTTCTACCTTGACATACAGATGTGCAAGCTGGAAATCCACCAAAGTTATAGGCAGCTGTCTAAATGCCTTCAAAAGCAAGGAAAATAAATGTATAAATTTATAAATTTAAAACAAAATAGTGTGAGTTCAACAATTTAGCTCTTAAGTTTTCTAGAAGAGAAGACAGAAACATCAAGGACCCTACTATATGAATGAAGCAAGAGCATCAGCTGTTGCGTAGCTGGAGAAACATGTAAAAGGTGCCAACCGAAATAATCCCTCTGTCAAATGGTATCTAGATTGGGGAAAGTTTATGAGACTTAAAGCAGGCAAAGAAGAGCCAGCATAAGTAGGTATGGTGCTGACTTATTTGGTGGTGCCGGAAAGATTCAGACTCTAGCTCTCCAGGGCCCATGATGGCTCGTGGGCCATTTGACCCATGGCACAGCCCTAGCAGAAAAGCGCCCAGAAGCCAGGGACTCTGGGCAGGAGGGCAGCAAGGTGCCTTTGGTGACTTCATCAGGTGCATCTAGGCACGAGCCTGACATTTCTATGGTGCAAGGAGCTGCCTCTGCCCCTGCTGACCAAAGCAGGCGGCGCTTCGGATCAGTGACACCTCCCCTAACCGACCTCCGAGGTTACATCTGAAGCCAGTAAACGCCAGCCTCGGCCTCCCTCTCAGTCAGCGTCTTGATTGGCCGACTGGCTGGTCGATCAGCCCCTTAAGCAGCCAACCGGAGGCGAGTATGGGCGGCGCTCGTCCGCCCCTGTCTACATAAGGGCGGGGGGCGCGAGCCGGTGGGTGGTAGGGGCAGGCGCCGCCGCAGTGGGGTCCCGGGCAGTCTCGGGGCGGCGACGCGCGGTTATTTATTTTTAAACACGCTGGGGTTTTAAGTAACGTTTTATAAGTATTTATCTGTGAGGTGCCCGCGGCCCCGAGCAGGACCTGGCGCCTGCCCCCGATCGCACGGTAAGGGCTCGGCGGGGGACTATCGGGCGCGGGTTTGGCTGGGGGGCTCCAGGCTGGGTAAGGTGGGAGGATGGATCGTTTATGGGTTTGGGCTGGGGGCGGGGGGGACGATCCATCGCGTGAGGGTTTGGGGGACCAGAGGCTGCAGGCTGGGCGGTCGGTTCTCTGCCCCACGCCCAGCCGGTCTGTGGGGTTACAGCTTGGGGCTGTCAGGGGTCAAGCTGTAATTGCTGGGAGGAGGATTTGAACCCCCCTCCTCCCCCCACTAAGATTGTCTCGGGGTCTATAAGCCCGAGTCCCCTCTCTCCCGAGCGGGGCGGACAAGCCCAGGCATGTCACTGTGGAGGGGGAGGTGCTGAGTGACTGGAGGGACTCGGGCAGCTGACGTGTGTGCAATGTGTCTGTGCTCTTCAGTCAGCGCTACAGCTCCGCTATCTGCAAATGCTGACCTCTCTCTTGGAGGAAGACTTCTGAACTTGAGGTTGGGTTCCTTGCATACATAAAATGCCAGCACAGATTCCTGTATAATGTGGGCGTTTCAGGGTGTATACTAAAGGGGAAGGCTGCTTGCTGACCATAACACACCAACTGAAGGCCACCCAAATCCGTAAATAATAAAATCTTCTGTAAAATGTGTACTATAAAATCAAAAGTCTAAGTTCAGAAATATAACAGCAGAAAATGTCTGACTAGAACAGTGGTTCTCCAACTTTTGTACTTGTGACCTCTTTCACATAGCAAGCCTCTAAGTGTGACCCCCTTATAAATTAAAAACACTTTTTAAAATATATTTAACACCATTATAAATGCTGGAAGCAAAGCAGGGTTTGGGGTGGAGGCTGACAGCTCATGACCTGCCCCCCCCCCCGTAATAACCTTGTGACCCTGAGGGGTCCTGACCCCCAGTTTAAGAACCCCTGGACTAGAACAATAGAGAGGGAGTCATTATAAATCTAAGTAGAGCTTGCTAATGTTATGATGTAATTCTATCCTCTTGGGGAAGGTTGAAGCGCTTTCATGTGCTTTGAAGAGCATCTTTGCCACTGATTGATGTTGGGGCAAATGTAACTCCCCAGCATATCATAAAGGCATTTTGGGACTCTTTTTAGTAGCTTCTTGCATTAAGTATTTGTGTCTCATTACAGATGATTGAAATGCTTGTAACAACTGAAGCTCAAGAATTGCTATATCAGCTCAATGCTCTGTTGGAACAAGAGTTAAGATATCAGCCAAAGGCTTCTGGCCTGAGACTAATTGAAACTGCTCATGACAATGGCCTCCGAATGACTGCAAGGTTGCGAGACTTTGAAGTAAAAGATCTCCTCAGCTTAACTCAATTCTTTGGCTTCAATACAGAAACGTTTTCTTTAGCTGTGAATTTCTTAGACCGGTTTCTGTCAAAAATGAAGGTATGTTTTGGAAACATAAGCTCTAATGCACTAACTTTCTATGGCCTTGCCTTCACTTAATTAAGGGGGGGGGGAATGTTAGCTATGCTTCATAGCCTTTAACGTAACCTCCTAACTTATTGAAGACGAGCACTATGTAGTTTTCACATCAGATTTTAACTCTAGTTAAGAACACCTTTATTCCAAGTGAAGATACAGCCTATGGGCTTGTCTACACTTGGAGTGCTATAATGGCACAGCTATGCTGCTATAGCACTTCATTGTAAACATACCTATGCTAACAGGTCAGGGTCTCCCATCTGTGCAGGTAATACATATCCCCCCAGAAGTGGTAACTAGGTGGACTTAAGAATTCTGTTGACCTAGTGATGTCTAAACCAGGGTTAGGTCAGTTCAACTATGGGTTGTTTTGTTTTGTTTTTGGTGTGTGGTGTTTTATTTTGTTTTGTTTTTTTTTGGGGGGGGGGGTGTGGATTTTTCACACCCCTTAGCGATGTAGTTAAGCCTACTTAATTTTCTAGTGTAGATGATGCCTATATCTCAATTTGTGCAGACACGTCAGAGTTTCACTAGTCTTAAACAGCAAACTACTCTTGCTCTCCTGTACACATGCTTTCTCTTACTCTTTGCAATATAAGATGTACATGTACATTCCTGTAAGCTACTTTTTATTTTACTACTCTAGATCTGTAAGGTTCTTGTCCAAAATGCCAGGTGCTCAACAGACTTCAGATGTTGGTCAGCACTGAGTACTTCAATAGTTTTGGGGAAGGAGGGATTTGGGGACTGAAGAGTAGTCCTATAATTGCACAGAGTGACCAGAGGATCTCATTATACCATTGTGTATGCTATCAGAAATAAAAGTTCTCAAAGATACTCGTATAATAATCAAAAGTAAGCAATTCAAAAATCTTCCAACTCAGTCTTAAGGCAACTTAAGCATACCACAGTCAGAGACCATGCATATTCCTAAATGGGGGGTGGGGTGGGAGTGGAAAATTACTGACTCCAAAAAATATGCTTTTAGAAAATTTTAAAGCTAACCCAATCAGATTAAAAAAGGACTAGACACTCACTTCTGAGCACATGCCAGTTTCTTTCAGTGTTTTGGAAGAAATGTCCACTAGTTAAATTATTCATTAATTCTCCTCCAAGGAACTTCTTATACCTCACTAACTCTCCAATAGGATATTGGATTAGTGACCCTGATCTAACCTGGTATAGCAATGGCTACATTTCTAATACAATAAGGAAAGCTCAGTATAAGAGAAGGGAATCTCCCAAATGCCCCTATTTGTAGAAAGCAGAGTGAAGTAATTTTGGGCATCTGACATCGTGGTGTATGGATGCGGATGGTCGAGTTACAGTATGCAAAATGATTGCTACCTGCAGAGCTTGGCTTAAAAAGAGAGCCCAACATCTATTTTAGCTGAATACATGTTTATTTTTCTGACTTACTATAAAATGCTTTCATTATAATAAGGAACTTGACTCTCTTTTAGGTGCAGCCTAAACACTTAGGCTGTGTTGGACTCTGCTGCTTCTACCTGGCTGTGAAAGCAACAGAAGAGGAAAGAAACATTCCCTTAGCCTCTGACTTAATTCGAATAAGCCAGTATAGGTTCACTGTATCTGACATGATGAGAATGGAGAAAATTGTGTTAGAGAAGCTATACTGGAGAATCAAAGCTACAACTGCCTTTCAGTTTCTACAACTCTATCACTTGCTCATCCATGAGAATTTACCTTGTGAAAGGTAAAACAACTATTTCACCATGACTTTGAAGCTTCTCTGCCCACTGGAAAGGGCTGGTGGGGGGGAAAATTGCTCAAGTAATCTACTTTAATGTATACAATTTAAATCAAAAGTGAGAATGCAAACAGTTACAAACAGGTAAACAGTGGCTGATATGAATCCCTGTGGATTGATACTGTGCTCTAAGGAACAGAGCTTTCTCCTACTTCAGGGACAACGTTGTTTACAGCTAAAATAAAAATGACTCTGAGCATAGTTTTAGATCAGGGAAACAGCCTTGCTGAACAGGTGCAGGTTAATGCATTGCTGATCAAGCAGCAGTAGTGTCTGACAGTCTTTCAAAATGTCTTCTCTGAAAAGACAACTGGTTCATGAATATCCTTAGTTACTTCAAGATCAAAACTTGCTTGGTCAACAAATATTGTAAGCACATCAAACCTGTAATACCCCTTAGCTGGGTAAAAACAACCGGGGATATAAAGTCAAAACTGCTTTTACTTTACCATGTTGCCAGTCTTGCAAATGTATATAGAAAAATATCTATGTATAAAACAAAGCAATAGCACATTAAGTTGCAACACTTAATTTTATAGTACAGCAACTGAGTCCTAAGGTTAGTCTACAATGGGAACTTACATTGGCATACCTACATCTCTCTGGTGTGAAAAATCTACACCCTGAATGTAGCTATGCCAACCTAACCCCTGGTGTAGACAGCAGAAGTGGGGAGGTGGATTACCTATGCTGACAGGAGAACCCCTGCCACTGACATAGGTTACTGTATACACTGAATTGCGGCAGCAGCACTGCTGTAGCGGTTTAAGTGTAGACATACCCAACACCTCTGAACTTAAAAGAAGCCTGTCATTCTTCTTTCACAAACACTTCTGGAACTGATGGAGCCCTTAAACCGTATCTAAGAGAATGTCTGAGTAATTTTGTATTAAACACTCAGCAAATTTCTAAGGCTTTTGCAATCTTGATCTGATTTATATACCGAAAAAGAAAATTACATGCTCTCTACAATTAACTAAACTCTTAATGCCATTCTCTTACAGGAGAAAGCATCTTAATTTTGAGAGACTTGAAGCCCAGCTTAAGGCATGTCACTGCAGAATCATGTTCTCTAAAGCCAAGGTAAGTGGTTTCTAATACCATAAGCACACTGAGTTTACTGAAGCTTAACAGTCTCAGCTGTCAGTATTAACATTTACTTTGTTTCCCTTAGCCTTCTGTTTTGGCATTATCTATATTGGCACTAGAGATCGAAGAAAAGAAACTGCTAGAGTTGAAAGAGGCGATAGAATGCCTTCAAATACATTCCAAGGTAGGTCATGGGGGGGAAAATGACCCTAAGAACAGTGAAGGGTAGAGTCTCTGAACAAGTTTAACATTAGGTTGTTGAACATCATTCTGCTTGTCTTGAAGGCTCCTCCAAAGAAAGGATTCTAGTTTGCTACCATTAAAAATGGAATAATTCTTTACTTGATCTGACAAATGGGAGTTGACTTTTTTCTCCCGAGATGGAGAGATTTGAAAAACTTGCTTGTAACTTTTATGCAGCATTCATGTGACTGGCTCATAGGGGATGAAAGCACACAACAGTCCTTCACAGTATCCATGATGTAAATCAGGAATTAGCAACCTTTGGCACACAGCCAGTTAGGGAAATACGCTGCTGGGCCGGTTTGTTTACCTGCAGCGTCCGCAGGTTTGGCCAATCGCAGCTCCCACTGGCTGCAGTCTCCCATTCTAGGCCAATGGGGGCTACGGGAAGCGGCGTGGGCCGAGGGATGTGCTGGCTGCTGCTTCCCGCAGCCCCATTGGCCTGGAACGGCGAACCGCAGCCAGTGGGAGCTGATGTAAATAAACTGCGAAGGAAAACCAACAAATCAGGTTTCCGCTCAACTTGACTATTACTATCATCCACAACTTATATGGCGTCATTCTGTGGAACTATTGTGAAACTTGTTCACAAGGGAACAACTAGTCCTTTCTGTTGGAGGTGCCCAGTAAAGTAAGTCACAAAAATAATGTGAAGTATTTTGTCCAAGCTCTTGCTCTTTGTATTTTAAAAAAAAAAAAAACCTACAATTTTTCAACTTAAATAGTTGCGGAGGCTGCAATAGCTTAGTAAATGAAGGCTGGTTCTGATACATGCTGGGGTACAGTGATATTAGTCTCCAGGTCAGGGGTGGCATGGGGGGAGCAGCAAGGCTCCTTTAGTGGAAGTGGGGGGAACCTCTTAATAACTAAGAGCCTTCTGCAGTCTATTGGCACCTAAGCTTGTCCCCTTCATACCTCCCACAATTGGCATGTGGTACAAGGCTTTTCTTAATTTAGCTTGCTTGAGGGTAGATTAAAACAACTGGGAAATGGGTGCTTAATTCTAGCTTCAACCTTTCTTCATTCAGACAAATAGCAGAGACCTAACTTTCTGGAAGGAGCTGGTATTAAAGTGCCTTGCAGAATACTCATCAAACAAGTGTTCAAAACCAAATGTTCAGAAGCTGAAGTGGATTGTGTCAGGACGTACAGCACGGCAGCTGAAGCATAGCTACTACAGAATCTCACACCTCCCCACAATCCCAGAGACTGGCTCATAACAGGTAACTTTCTTTAGCTGCTTTCAACTTAGATTTGTGCACAAACAGGAATCCTTAAACAACTAAAACTTTCTTCCTGCTTACTAGACTGGAGGAGGTTTCTTCAGCCCCCTAGGCACAGCCTAGATATTCAATTTAGCTGTCAAACAAAGCAACTCCTCAATTTAATCAACACATTCCAAGTGGCCTGTCAATTCTTGGACACATTCTGCTGACCTTTAGGTGCATCAACACTAATATCTGAGTCTGAAAATACAAACTGGCAACCCTCCTAATGTCTCCTGTAGCAGAGTACCAGTTCTTTCCCATACTGTGGTGTCCGCCACTTGAATCTCACTCACTGAAGTCTGGAGCACAGCTAGGTGAGCAGAGCAAGTGGTGGAATGTGACAAAGATGCCAGGTTGTTAACTTGCTTCACATTCTGATGCTTACAAGGAAAAAGAGGAGAGGGAGAGGAAGAGGAGTGTCTATACTTGAGCAGCAGGTCCAATGTATCAATCAGTGCACCAAAATTTATAGTGAAGGTTGGTTAGCTCATCCTCCAGACACCAAGTTACTGAAATTGGCTTGCCTGTAACAAGTTTCTGGTTGTCCTAGGACTTCAGGACAAATGTTCCTAACATGCGTACAGGCTATGCAATAAAGATTCTGAGATAACTGTCACAGAAAAGTCTACAAAGCTGGTGTCAGACAATGATTTTCCTACAAAAATACATCTACTTCCATTGACAGGGTATTTAATGCATTAAGACATTGCTTCCCCTCACACTTCCAAAGGCTCTACAGTAGAAATTCAGTTACAAACACCAGAGTTAAAAACTGACCGGTCAACCACACACTTCATTTGGACCTGAAAGTATGCAGTCAGGCAGCAGAGATTGGGGCGGGGAAAAAGCAAATACTGTACAGTACAGAATTGTGTTAAATGTAAACTGCTAAAAATTAGTGTGTAAAAAAAAAAAAAAAAGGAAATTATTTCTGTGCTTGTTTCACTTATATTAAGATGGTTAAAAGCAGCATTTTTCTTCTGCATAAAGTTTCAAAGTTGTATTAAATACATGTTCAGTTGTGAACTCTTGAAAGAACAACCATAACGTTTTGTTCAGCGTTACAAACACTTCAGAGTTATGAACAACCTCCATTCCTGAGGTTGTAACTCTGAGGTTCTGCTGTATCTACATAGTTTAAACATGGTTAAGCTTAATCTGGCAAAACTAGCCTCTAACTCTGTCCTGTGCATTGACTAGACAAGCTGTTTTCCAACATTTTATTGGAACACTGCTTGTATCTAACCAATGTATGATAAACCATTCTTGCTGAAACAAACTTAAAGGCCTGAAATAAACTTCAGGGGTGGGGAGTCTAAGCAGGACATAAATTAATTATTGTTTTAGCCTATTACCCAACTAACTTTCACTGCTGAGTTGCTACTTTAATTTTTTTTTAAATGACCACCATTAACTGTCTTCCCTGGAGTATCCTTTCCCCCTCCCCCATCCTCCCCCTACTTTAAGGGGCAGAAATTGTCTTGCTGCACTACAGCTGTACAGCACGTAGCCATTTGTAGTAACAGCTGTTTAGTTGACTTAATGTCTCTTATACTGTCTGCACAGGAATCTTAAAATGGAAAGATGACTATGCTGAAGGCTGGTTTACAGAATTCAGCTGTGGAATTGAAAACTGAAGCCTAAAACATGACAGCTGTTCCAGCATCTGAAGTTCAACTCTTGGAAAACTAAAACATCCAGGTTTCTTTAGTAGACCTTTCCAGCAAATGCAGTTGTATTGGTGCTGACTACAGGAGTAATAAGTAGTAAAAAGTTCCTAAAGGATGAATGACTAAAACCTGTCTGAATATTGAAATATGCATATGTAACAGTGAAGCATCATAATGCTGTTTTATAGTAGTGAATAGCCTTAGGCAACTTGGTAGCTAACTGATAGAACAGCTAGTGTAGTTTAACCTTGGTTACTGCAACTGTGGCTGTTTAGTTAGATTACTTCATGCAATTTGATTCTCCACCTCCTAAAACCTTTGTACTTGAAACATAGGGGGCATAATGTGCTTCAGGACTGCTGAGGCTACCAAATAGTCTCAGACAAATCTTAGATACTGCACTGGACAGATAAGAGACTAAGTCAAATGTTTTGTATTCTGTGTCATGTTTTCTTTGAGTAGCCATGTCCTCCTGCACAAGGCCTTGGTCCTTTGATGCAGTGTAGTCCACTTACTTCACCTCCAGTGCAGAGTTGACAAATCTAGCTAAGATGATAAAATACAAATCAGACAGACACTATGCTGGGAAAGCCTGCAGTTGTTACTCTGCATCATTACTGAACTTAGCCATCCTTCTACCCATATTTTTGTGAAAAGTATAATTTTGTGAACTTTAGTGGAGATTGAAAGCATGGCTTTAACAAGCAAATTGCACCCTATATCAGTTTACAATGTCAGTAAAACTGCTGCTTTGCTATTTCTGTCTAGTCCGTTGCAGAGCCTAACACTAGGGGGAAAAAAAACTAAGTTCACTTATAGACAAGGGGACAAATTCTGATTATTATGCAGGTGCAGTTTGCATGCCCTCAATAGAAATTGTACCAGTACCACCATAATGTAAGATGACCATCAGCTTTTGTTGCCCAAATAGGAAACTGCATCTATACCTCTTAATAGTTTGAGTTCTGAATCAACTCTGCTACTTAGAACAAATACAGCTTCATTCCTGGTTTGTCACTAAAAGATCTAAACCCTATGTGTCAATGCTAGCTCCTCAGCAATAGAGGAAGGTCAAACATATGAGAGAGTACACTCTAAAGATGTTCATAAATGGGATGCCTAAGAGCAAGTAAAGCTGCAGTGTTGTAGGCCATGAAATGAATGGCTGAAGCTGGGATGTAGGCAGCGACTTCTGAATGCTCCACATCACATTGCATGAGACCCTCTTACTGGTCAATCATTAATAACTCCTGCATGTACTCTTAACTTATTTGGGCAATGAGAGAAAAGAACTGTGAATAGTTAAATAAAATGTGGGGCTGGTACACCAACATCTACTTTTTAAAGTCGAACATTGATTTTGGGGAAACACTCCTCACCTTCCTTCTAATGTAGTAAAAGCGTAGTCAAACTTCCTCCAGAGCACTTTAAACTAAACGGGGGGAAAATTCTACTATGAACTTATAGATGAATGTTGTTGCTAGCCTTGACCATGCAGATAGGTATGCTGTATGTAGTTACCACTGCTAACTGCTGCCCGGTGAAAGGGGCAAGGGAAGCAAAGGATAGTACATGCTATGCAAGTTGAATGCAACGGCTGAAGATGCACTGTGCCATTCTTAGCAGAAGTAACATTGTCTCAATTTCATTAAAGAATGTACCTTTCAATAAACCTTATTGAAATGCAGGTATCAGTAATTGTCCTTTTGACACTCTTCCCACTACCTATTACAAAACTCTCTATCGGTTTCTTTACTATTCTGTGAACAGTAATTAAACTTCCCAAATAAATGCTCTTATGAAAGTAAACTTAAACTGTAGGTGCTAAGAGTCATTGTACAGATCTCATTGTCATCTATCTTAAAACAGTGGTCAACTTATTGTTTAAGGAAAAAATTTTTTTTATATGTGATACCTAAGACTAAACAAACCTAGCAAGATTTATTTGATGTATAGATGAGTAGGGTTGGTTTTCACTTCCTCTCTAGTTTGACTTTAAATGTCAAAGCAGGAGCCAAATATCTGAAATAGACTATCCTGACTTTTTCTAAAGGATTGCTCTACCTGAAATGTAGGATATAGTAAAGTCCACAGTGGTTGCAACACCACACTATTTACTAGTACGCTACATGTTCCTACACTTCATTTGTGGGTGGGTTTTTTTTGTTTTTTGTTTTTTTTAAAGAGACCTTAGATACCTTCTATGTGGATACTCAGATTTTGAACAGGAGGCTTGAAAACTATCCTCCCCAAGAACTGGGAGTTTGGTATTGGCACCAGTTTCTATAGCAAATAAAATTAGTGTAGGAGGGCTTCAGAAGAGCTGTGAGGAGAGCTTTATTGTAGCCCTAAACAAAGTATTATAGTGGCCTTCTTACATAAGCAAGTCTTGAGAAAGGACTCTTAAGTGTCCATTTCATACCTTTGCTAATGCTTTTACAATTGATTTTGAAGGGCTGACTAAGCAGTTACTTCTCCCTCAGCTGCAGGGGTGATTTCTTGATGAGCTGTACAACATGAAAACCTAAATGAAGCTGTTAGATAACTATGCTCCTATCCAGAAAGCTCACATTACCTCTTGGCTTTATGTCTGAGGCATCTGGAGAGAGCAAAAGGGATTTGAACTCAAGTGAAATCATATCTTACATGAACCACTCCATCTCCTCCTTATGAACCCTAGACAGTGTCTTGTATGGATCTGACTACAGTAGAAACCACTTTTAGGCAATAACTGGAAGTGGATGGTAACAGGGCCTCCTTCCACTACTTTAAAAAAAAGTCTTGTTCCCTAACTTCAAGATACATAATCACAGCTTTTTCCTCCTCTGTGTTTGGTACAATTCTAAACAGTTGCAGCTTAGATGTAGGTTTGCTGAAAGTTTTGCCATCTCCCATTTATATTGCAGTAAGATGCTCATCTTGGCCTGTCTTTGCAGAACTCTCCCAAAGCATCACAGGGCACCAAATCCAGAGCCTGGACTGCATAGGAATGTTTGCTGTAAGGGTACAAGTTGTCAAACTCAGGCTGTGGAGAATACAGAATTCCATTTTTAATGATAGTCCAGGCTATAAAATTATCATAGTACCCAGGAATCCTACTTAGTACTACTGCTATAAATAGGCAGTTTGCACAAACTCTCTACATATTAACTAAACTTTCAGTTAACTTATTTGTACAGTTCCCCATTGTGGAATTCACTATCACTTGCTGGCACAAAATGTTCACCTCACAGCCCAGATACTTTTTGCCCTTCAGTTTGCCTCCTTTCCCATCCTCTCTTTCCTTGCCCTGGATTTGTCCATACAGCCATACTCAATTTTCATCCTCATGCTATTTGTCAGAAATAAGAACTAGTTATCTGGACATTTTTAGAGTCTCAGCCTTTGGATTAATGCACTAGTGAAATTAGTGGGAATGTGAGATATCTACTCTCTTCTCTGTAATAATGGCTCAGAAGTCTGAACCTCTTCTATAAAATGAAAGATTCTACAGAAAATGAATGCTATCCCAGCCCAGTGGATCAGGTAACAGCTGACCTATGTAGTGGGAGGTTTGATATGGTTTCATGGAGTGTTACAAGAATGTAGCTTTACTATATTTGCTCCTAGGTGTAATGGAAGGTATTGACAGTATTTTACAAATGGATTAGGTTCTTGCACCCTACAACAGTTATGGGGGTAGAGAGGAAGAAGTGAGTGATCAGCTGACAGTCTTAATTAAGCCTTAGATTTTAGTGGATTGGTGGCTACTGGCAGATCATTGTCAATGAAGAGACCTCTATTCTGGAATTCACAGCTGGAACTGGTCTATCTGTAAACATGCATAACACAGTGCAAAGCATTCTGCAGGCTTCTTACTCTTTTAGATTGGGAGATGATTTGGCTTTTGTAATTGTATATGTTGGACATATACTCAGTCTCTGCTGGCTACATTAAGAATTAAAATAGGAAAGTCTTAGAATATGTAACTTTCATATAAAGCACATAATACTAAGTAGTTAAGCACTAGCCAAAACCTGTAATTAAAATTTATATTTTCTTAAATTCAAACTGTACACTAAGTAGGGACAATAGAAATACATAACTGCACATTTATTTTCTTGCACAATGGTATGTAAGTCAACATTTTGTTCAATGTGTTAGTCAGGAAGAGGTACAATATGGTAGCTCTCACATGGGAACAGTTTTTTAAATTCTAAAAAGAGTTTTAACTTTTAAGTACACAGAATTGCATCCTACAGGCAAAGTATTCCACCCTTTCAGAAACCAAAACCTCTTCTCCTCCCACAAAGAATATTAAATTACTATACTGTAAGTAGACCTACGAGTACTAGAACCCAGGCTTCAACCTAAACCTTTTGACTTTTTGCTACCACGCTGTTTGTCCTTCAGCAACATTTGGCACAACACTAAAATGTCAAAACTTATTTTCTGCACTTAAGAGTAATATTCTTGTTTCTGCCACTGCGTTTTAAAATTGAATTTACTAACACACATCAGAAGGCTGCTAACCAAGTGAGAGCTACAAAAGTACATTTTTAAAATTTAGAAAATATAGGTCTTTCAAAGTTAAGGATAATGGTAGGTGGCTTGCCTGTAGGATTAATTCTCCACAAGAGGATGAGTGCTGACATTTATGTAGCATTCTATAACTGTGCCTCTATTTCACTTCATTGTGGAATATTTCCACAAATCCATACTGCTTAAAAACAGTCATGACACCTTTAAAGTACATTTATCATGTGTGCATATTTTCCATTAATATCAAAGTTAGCACACTTAAAAATGAGCCTCTAACTGCTGTTTGTCTTGATCCTACTGAAAGGAATCCTCTGTAAACTATCCACGGAGACAGTATTTGATATTCATTCTGTAGACAGGTGAAGTCTTTTTAGCAATGACATATTCCACTCCTTCAGTTTAACACAGAATTTCTCTCTGGTTCTTTGGAACACAGCTGAAAGTTTATTTTTCAAGTTTGGAAAAGTCTGGTCCCCCTTTGCTGTAGTTCCCAGAAATTTCTGCCCCACTGAAGTCAAAGCCAGGATTCTGTACAGAGATAAAAGAAAGATTCATATAAAGGTTAATATTCAATATATCACTGTATAAATCAAAGTTTAACGCTTTCCCAAACTGATAAAAGCACACACCTTCTGCTTGTTATGTTCCTGGGAATTGGCACAGTTGAAATTCTCCAGGGAGAGTGAAAAATTTTTGCACACATGCATCAGCAATTACACACAAAGGGAGATTGGGATTCTGGTTGGTGGCTTGCCCAGC